AAACATTCGATTCGGGTGAAGGCGCGCTAGATTTTCGTACGTCGTATGACAGACGTCATCAGAGTAGGGAAACATCCTTACAACCATATTCAAGCTAACAAGTCAAGAAAATTTATTGGCTTATCGATAAATGCTGAATATATGCCCTATAGCTAATCTCTTTACTGAGGTATAAAGTGATTTGGTTAGTTCAAATTATACATCAACCATGTAAGTGTATATGTCCATGAGTATTTATGTATCTTCATGTCTTCGTATATGCAAAAAAAAAATATAAAAGAAATTTATGCAGGCATCAATTGAATAATATAGTATCTGGACTGAAGTGAGCAGTTCAAAAAGAATAAAATTCTTCCTAAAATCAAACGCGAAGACAAGCATTGGGCTCATATTAAAATGAAGAAATATAAAAAACGATGAAGAAATATATATAACCATTTTGTGGATCATTTTAAAGTGTGTAGAACGAATAAATGCCAACTTTTTGAAATTAAACTCAACAGTCAAAATATGCGTAGATGTATATAAATGAGGCTGTTTTAAAGAAGAAAGAATGAGGAAGATTAAAAAAATGTGGAAACGAGAAGTTTAAAAAAGAGACGGTAACGAAAAATCAAAATTGCATAAGTAAAAAGTGTTAGGTATTAACTTAGGTTTAGAGGTGGTCGCAGTGGAGGACTGGCGTCGTGGGCGAACTGGCCGAATTGGCGTGGTCTGCAACATACAGCTAGCAGATTCACCAGTGGTATTTTGTGTGCAGGTTCCAGTAGCCGAGAGTGAGGCGACCGACGAGCGCAATCTAAGATTACGACCAGAAACGAGTAAAGTTAGTTCATTTTTGATCTCGCATGGGGCAGAGTCTGACGTCCCAGAGCCTGAAAGTGAAGTGTTCACCCCTAGTACTTGAGACTGGGAGCAGTGCTCCACAGTATGCGGACCGAGAGCAGTGAACGGAGAGTTCAATAATCCCGAGTGACCAGACGCTGTTGCTACCATTGATGACAACACTGAGGGGGACGTGATTGCTGCAACCGATGTCGGCGTAGCTAAAGAGGACGGCATAGTATCTGATTCACCAATTTTAGCCTCTAAATCCAAACCGTTTATTAGGGAATTGCTATCATAGCTCCATCCGGCTTCTAAGAGGCCAGGAATCAAATTTGGCGAGAGAGGACCGTTTCGAAAGGCGGAATTAGGCAGACCAGGATTAGTGCGTGATAAGGCAGATCGTCGGCGCTCAATGAGCAAACTGACAAGCTGATAATGGATTTGAAAAGTTTCGATGGAATTAGCGAAGGCAATGAGGGGTACCAAAGCAAAAAATAGATAAAAATACATCATTAAAAAATAATTTGATTTAAGTTCCTAAATATATAAAGACCAAGATGTTGCAGCCTCTGTTATGCTGGCAGTCTCCTTTCGATTTATAGAAGTGGGTTGACCTCGTTGTCGCAACTTGGTCTTGTGTTCAGGGAG